ACTGATGTTTCTCCTTCTGGTTGATATGGTTGCAGGACTAACAGCTGGTAAACAAAGGAGAAATTATTAAAACACAGTCCAAGAACAAATTTCGAGTAACTTGTTAAAACACACATGCTGATTGATGAGCATTTGTTGCACAATAGCTGTACAACATCTCCCAAATTAATAGGATGTACATATTACTAATACATGCTCTCTCTCACATTCTTCACACTGTGAAAAAATATGGAACAAATGGAGGGCCTGGATGTATTTATCAGCATGAAAATGTAATAATTGCACTACCAAATATGCTTAATAAAAATCTCAAACCATCAGCTTCTATTTCTGAACCACCATCCAAAAATCCAAATATAAATGAGTTAAGGTATTGAAAAAAACCTTATTTTTGCAGCAACAGACTGACATAACTACCCCTCTAAAATATATTTTTAAGGGAGGCATTCCTTAACTACCTATTATGATGCAGCATCTATATCTGAATGAAACTGGGACCAGCATTTTAAAGGAAGGAACAACCCTGAAAGGTCATTTACCCTATCTGGCAAAACAACTACAAAAAAAGGCAAATGTAAGTTTTCATGTGGCTCTTCCTAAAGACAAATTTTAGGAAGATTTTAATTCTAAAAATGGCACGGGGAAAGCTTCTGAAAGTCAGATACTCAGATTTAGATCTTCTTGTGAAAATGATTAATTTTCTTTTAAAACCACAGGGACTTCCAATAATTAATTTGCCACATTACGTTGTATTGAGTCCCTTGGCTTTTTCATGCAAAGTTATTAGTGTATATTAGAATGTAGGGAGTCTAAGGATTACTAGACAACCCATGAGCCAATGGGTCATTGTTTCAGAGACATTTCCTTACCTAAACAGAGAAACCAAATGACCAAGGGCAAAAAAGCAGTGAGAGTATGAGCGACTTGCAACTTGCTGCTGGCTTCCCCATTGACTTTGCTTGTGGGAAGCTGGCAGGGAGCATCAGAAATCTCCCTCCCTCCCTCCTTCCTTTCCTCCCTCTTTCCTCTTTTCCTTCTTTCCTCCCTCCCTCCCTCTTCCTTTTTTATCTTATTCTTATTTACAGTGCCTGCCCTTAGAAACTGCATTCTTCCCCCAAGATCCAGCTGGCCTACAGTTTTAATGTTAATTTTTTGGTCGTTTGCTCTAATATTGATGTTTTTAAGCTTGGTGAGTGGGTTGCCTTAGAAATCAAATAAATAAATACATAAATAAAATTTATTATCGTAGACCTGTAAAACCCGATGCGGAAAATCTTTCTGCACCCTCTGAAATTGAAGATGCTAACCTGAATAACAGGTGAGAATCTGAAAAGAAATAGAATTGACCAAATAGAAAAATATAAAAGCTACAGATCCTCTGGTACATTAAGTTATGGGAGGTCCTTAATCTTTTGGGGGAAACATCTTTGAATGCTTATTGGGGGACATACACTGAACCTAACAGGAATTGCTTTTGAATATACCAGTACTACTGCTATCTAAAGAGTTGAATCTCATAAACCTTGCACATTATGTCAGAATGTATTTGTTAAACATTAAGATTCTCCAGACTTCCTGGGGTTTTGCTTAGAAAGTAGATAAAAAGAAATTGCTCAGAATTACTATATACTAAGCACAGGTCTAATTATATCTAATCACAGATATATATCTAAGCACAGGTCTAATATATCTAATACATCCCTTATTTGGATTGGACATATTTCATGTCTTTCTCTTTCTTTTAATATTGTACTGGTCTAATTGACTGTAATAAAGTTAATAATATCTAATATTGGGAACTCATCTCTCTTGCTCAAATATTTATAGAAAAATTCAGTCTTTGTGTGCATGTGTGAACCTTTTGGTTGAAGTACAGAAAGCTTAAGCCACTGGACACATCTGGAATTAGAACATATACTGAGCATTCTCTGAATTCCCTATTGATTTTTTGAGCAGATGAGACCAGAAAAAGATGACTATGCTTACACGGTAGAGGGAAATACAAGCAGAAGACAAATCCATGTGATGAGATTACTGGAAAGTTTTTGATGACTTCATGGTTAGGGTTACCAGATACCTGAACAAGGAGGACTTGGTCAAGTGGAAAGGAGGACAAATGGAGGAAAAGGAAAACATACTGTTTATTGGCATTTGGGACAAAAATTAGAGTGACAAACTGCAAAAAAATGTACTTAGGCCTAAACGTATATGAAATTACCTTTCATATTATTACTAGTAATAGTAATAGTATTACTAGTAATAGTATTTTTTCCAGTAATAGGTTTTTCAGTCTCAATATTTTTCAACAAATCTTTATTTACAAGAACATATGCTAGTGATAATATAGAATTGAGAATGCACTTTTCAAATTTCTCCACAGAAATGTATTGTCACTGATCTTCAATTATAGCGATCGTAGATTTGAAGGGGCTGGATTAAAGCCGACGGCTGGAATCAGGAAATCAATTAAATAATGTAAATCTAGGCAGTTGAGTCTGTTGACAAGGGAAAGAAAGCAGCAGACAATTTATGAGGTCACAATATAAGAGAGTTTGAAGCAGTCCAAAATTTAAAAAAAACCCAAGATACTCAAAAAGCCAGACAATATTTGATTTTACAGCTATGGCTGCCAGACAGAGGCCATGAGAAGAAAAAAAGAGGACATGTCCTCCTTTTGCTGGACATCTGGCAACTCTATTCATGGTGCACCCATGAAGCTTTCTTGGCAGCATTAGGGAAGTCATTTGTTCTTTTCTTCCATGATATTGTTGACTCCCTGTGATTTTCCTGTGGTCTCTCCTTCTACTCTTAGCCAGCTCTGGCCCGGCTTAGTTTTTTTCCGAGATCAGCCAAGGTCAACTAGCTGCTGCCACCTGTTGCAACAACTACCAGTATAGTAGTTTGTAGACCATGGAGAATAAGGTAGTGATCTCCAATGGGGGTGTGTGTGAGAGAGAGAGAGAGAGAGAAAAGGCTAAAAATCGATAGCAGCCTCTTTCTCTCTCAAAAGAGAAGGCCGCTGCGCGGTCCACGCGCCCTCGCTCGCCCCTCAAAGCGGAGCAGCTCCAGCTGAACCTGCGAGCTCGGCGTCTCCGCCCGCGGCGCCAGCGCGGAAGGGCAAGCGCGTGACTCCGCCCTGCTAGGAGCGGCGACGGCGATGGCCGCGTTCGCCGGGACGCCGCAAAGCGAGCAGACCGAGGCAGCGGCGGGAGGAGGGGCTTGGTTTCGCATTGCGGCTAGAGAGGAGCTGGAGCCGCTGCTGGGCGAGAGCCGCCGAACGATTGCAGCTTGCTGGTGCGCAGCGGTGGCTTGCAGAAATCCCGGGGCAAACGCCCGGCCCCTCGGGTAGTCCGAGCGCCCGGGAACGAGAGTGGGCGGAGTGGGAAACTCGCCGCCGCGGCTGCCGCTATCTATTCATTCAGGCAGTCACCTAAAATGGCTGGAGAGAGCCGAAGGTGGTGGCGGTGGAGGGGAAGCTGAAGCCGCCGCCCCCTTAAAACGTGCAGCGCCCCTCTTCTCCTTCGTGGTGCGCAGGGCTGTGTTTTGGGGGCGCTGAGAGGCACCCCTTCTCTCCCCGTTTGGCTTTGCGGGTCTTTTTCAAAGCCTCTTACTCCATGGTTTGCTCTTGTCTCCGAGCTTGCGTTTGCTTCAGCCTCTGAACCATGTCGACCGGCCAAGACGAGAGCTCCGTCCGAGTCGCCGTCAGGTGAGGCGTGCCCAGGCTTCGGCTCCAGGGCGCTGCGCGCGCCCGTGCTTACCTGCAGGGTCGTAGCAGCAGGAGGTTGCAAAAACAAGGGGGTTCGGGGGGGGGGGGGGGGGGGGGGAGGAAGAACGCCTAACGTGGGCCGGGGGAGGCGAGGAGGGAGTCGTGGGTCGGGAGCCTCTGAGGCAGGTCTGCGAGGGCGGCGGCGAAGTAACTCGCGGGTCTGGGGTTGACCTTTCCGCTGCTGATTTTTGTGGCGTGAGGGGCAGCGGTGTGTGCGACGCGGCGCTCCTTTGCTACCTAACGGCCTGCAAGGGAGGGTTGGTGTGAGAGGAAGCCGTCTTGCAAGAACCCGTTGGCGAAGGAGGGGAATTGGAAAAAATTTCGCTCGAAATCGATGTTGAAGTAGCTCCACTTCCCGCACCCCCGTAAAACTGAGAACTGGGATGCTGCAAGGAAGGGCTTCTGTATCAGTTGAAGCTGCTCTGTTTGTCCAGATTGTGGCTTTACTTGCAGATGGTATCAGGGCTGTTTAAAAAAATCCAGACGGCTTTTAGAGGATGGTAGAGAATTTGAGTCTTTTTTTTTTTTTTTGGCTGCCTTCTAGTGATTGTCCAGATATTTGCAATCCAGATCTGGTAGCTTAACTGTTAAACGGAGGAATTTGGTTTCCTTTATATGTTGTGCATTTAGCGTTAGAAGGTGTATTTGCTGTGGCTGAGAAATTTGGGGAGGGGTATTTTGGGTTTGCTCCACAGGTAGGTTTGTATCACTGGGAAAAAGGGAGGAACTAAATGTTGGGCCTTGTTTGTAGAAATGCAAACAAAGGGATAGTATATTCCTATTTTATACTCACTGTTACATTCCATGTTACTCTATCATGAACTGCATGAAGATCTCTTGATGCTACTGTTGTTACAGGCCTGTGCTAGCAAATTGGCTTTAACTGGATTGGGTAGTTGAAATTGCAAAAATACCAGGGAGGGAGCTTATGAGTATTTTTATTCATGATGGAAAATTGCAACATCATTCTTCTTTACTGAAAATTAATGACGTATTTATAGTAGAGCTTGCACATCAAGTAGGCTTATGCCAAAAATTTTCTGCCTTACTTACCTTCACTCCAAAACTAAAAGGATTTTTTTTTTATCTTGCTAATATTTCATTGTAGATTTTCAACAAATAAAACTCTGGAATATTTAAGTGTGGATTCTTCAGTTACATCTGGGGATAGTGCTTTGGCTGGTACCTGTTAGGAAGTTCAGCGTGACACAACAAAGCTTCAGGCTTACTCCCTTCCTTGATGGCAGTCAAACCCATCCACCTTGGGTGGCTTGTTTCTGAAGAGAGGTGTATGAATTACACCATTTTTAATTTCACATTTGCAAGATTTGAGACAGATAGCTAGCCCAAACATATCTTTCTGTTTCACCCTATATATCAATCAGCATGCTGGATGGCAAATTCTGGGAGTTGAAGTCCACACATCTTAAAGCTGCCAAGGTTGAGAAACCTTGATATATATGAAAATCTTAGTTGAGAAGGGCAAGTAAATGGGCTGAGAGCAGAATAAATGTATTGCTTGCTTCTCTAAAAGCTTTCAGGGCATTGCAACAAACATTTTTATCAAGACCTTTGTGGTGTCATGTCAGCTTTATAGCCACGGTGTTGTTCCCAAATGCTTGAATAGCATTGCCTGGCCTGATTCATTCTGTTGCTGCATTAAGTACTTGGAGTTTTTGTGTTACCTGAGTTACACAACTTTCCTATCTATATTTTTATCATGTGAAACAGTACTAAAAACTTGAGTTAAAAGAAGTTGTTGGGGTGGAGTTGTTACCACAATAGGGTCATCCTGCTGTAAGACACAGATTTAATTTTCATTGTGGTTTCATACACAAACATTTATGGGATTGCCCAAATGCAGGGTATGATGAATGTTGAAGAATTATCATGATGAGGCTACTGACTTTTGATAATGCTTTTACTGCAGGGGAGTTTGGCAGCATTTCTCGGCATAAAAGGGCAACGCCCAGTGAACAGTGAGATGAAACTCAGTGAATACTGTAAGCATTTATTTTTTCCCAAAGTGATGTGATGATGTCACGTTTATCCTGGCACTGAAGTCATGTGCATTTATTTAAGGGCCCACAAAAGATGTTACTCACTGTGTAACTAGGTAGGCTGTTAAAGGAAATACATGATGTTGCTATGGGATGATGGATTTTTATCTTTACAATGTTTGCATTTGAAATATTCCAAAGAGGATTATATTGTCACTGAGAAGCTCAAGATTTTTATAGCAGTGTGGAGGCTGTAAGAAACAGTACGTATAATGTTCATATACATGAAATATTACAGAGTAATTCTTTTCTAATGAGATGATGTCCAAGGATCACGGAAGCATGTAACTAGCTTGTTCATTCTAGAAGGCTTTTTACTTTTTTTGTCTAATCACAGACATGGATGTTATTATTAATAAAATGTATACACCCAGGAACTCTGGTAGTAAAAACCCAGAAAAAAAAAAACAATGTAACAATAAAGACAAAGGGGCAAAAGGATGGCAAAACCAGGCAAAAATGGGCAAAAACATACATACATTATTCGGAAGGGTATTTAACCTCCCTAGCCACAAAAGCCCGGGTGATGGGGTAGGTCTTCAAAGCCCTGTAAAATACTAGTAGGGTGGGAGCCACCCAGATCTCATTGGGAACCTCATGCAGAGAATTTTTTTTTGAAGAATTATAATATGGCTGATGTGACAACTAGTGCCTTTTGATTTTAAAAGGTTTGGGTTCTACAATGTGCTTAGATTTTTTCACTGGATAATTCTGTTGCAGGGCTGTTATGCGATGCACTTAACTACTGTAAGAAATAAGACCAAAATAATAATCCACCATTCTTGAAATATGAAAACCTTTACTCCACACTCCAGCATTCTTAATATAAACCAACAAGATGTGACTGTAACAGAGCAACTGTGCTAGGTCCATGACATAAGATACTTCTAATGACCCTTCTGTCTGTGTTGCTGCTAGAATTGGAGCAGTATATCTGGGCTATGATCCAAACATTGGATGCGTCCAACTCCTTGCATGTGGAAGTTAATAATTATATTTAAAAACAGCTTCTTGTCTGTATTGCAGTATGGTTTTGAAACTTTGCAACTTCATTTTTAAGGGAGTGAAGGATGATGATGAACAAGTGAGGGACTTCAGTGCAGTTGCCTAAGAAGTTTCAACATTGATTCACATGACATGCATGACCGTGTTACCATGAAAAGTAGTTGTTCTGTGCATACATAAAAGAGAAGGGGGCATAGCATTCATTTTATTTTTAAAAAATGGATCTTGCAACCTACTGCTTTATAATGACTTTATTTTCTGTTTTGTATATGATCTCAAACTAATAGTTATTATACCAGAATAATAATTTACTTCTTTACTTAAGCTAACTGAAAACAGCTCCTGAAACTAATATATGACCAAACAGAGGAAACAGTAAAACTTTTAGCCAAAACTGTCAAGTCATAATTTAAAATTTCTCTTACATTACAGAATGACAAGTCAACTTCTGTTATTTGGACATTAGGTACTCAGATGATTTGCTAAAGGGTATCTGAGCTTTCACAATTCACTCAACAGGAATATCTGGTATGCTACTCCATCATTATGTACAATATTCTGGAATAATTAGGTGTGCAAGATGATAGCTTCAGGGTTGCAATAATTGGAAAAGCTGGAACATTTTTCTTGATACTTCATCACGCCAAGGTAGTATTACAAGTGTTGCATGTAGTGTTTTAGGAAAATATTTACTGACATTTACTGTGCAAATACAGAGAAACATAAATGGAAGTACAATCATGCTCGAAGGTACTGTTGATATTCCTTCCAGACAGATGTGTCCCCCTTTACTTAATCCAGTTTAAGGACAAAATTTGATGAATTTTATGAATGGCCAGTGTTGTCAATGAATCAATGAAATGCTTTGTTGATGTCTTCATCTCTCGTCTAATGAAGAGAAATATCGGGGAAGGGGAAAATAAGTAGAAGGGCATCTGCATGCTGAATAATTATAAGATAAAATGACTAAGAGCATCACCCTCCTACATATCAGAACATTTTATTCTTCTCACTTTAAAAATTATAGACAAGGTCTCGTCGTGATTTTGGTGACAAAAAAGCTACATCTGGGATCATGTGTCCATTACACAACAAAAGAGCCTTTGTTAACATTGTTTTCAGTTTTCTTCAGCTTAAATATTTGGTTTGTTTTAGAAGACTTCTACTGCCCATCTTTCTGCCTGTATTTATCACATTAATCACATTTGTATCCATTTGTGTGAGAAATGACTGTATTTATTTGTTGTCATAGTATTCTCACAATATTTCCTTTTTGTTACTATTTTACCTGCTCCCTATTCTTATCCTCTAGTTTGCACTAAATTTCTTTGTTAAATTTTAAATTCAATTCCTAATTGATAATGATCTCCTCAACTTCATAATTAATTTTGCTTCTTATATATTGTATTATAAGCAGGTGGCAGATATTTCATAATTCTTCAATCACCTTCTGTAAGTATTAGTGCAGATGTTAGCATCCAGACAAGTTCCACTTTTTATTAAAATAAGGTTCTAGCAGATATAAAAGTTATATAAAATTCCTCTCTCACCCCTGTGGGTTGTATGTGTCTTCCTCAATCTCGGGTCCTCTGCCAGAGGCCTGGGAGTTTGAGGGTTCTGCGCAGTATCTTAGCTGTTCCTAG